ATCCGGTTATAATTTGTATTAAATGAAAAATACGTGATCAAAGTTATTGCATTTGTAAGAGCTATTTATTAGAACATAAAGTATAAAAAGTCGTACCTAAGTGATCTGCTCTGATCAGAGCAGATCTAATTAGATCTATCCATATCACCTTTATGATTACATATATTCATTAAGCTTGATCTAATTTGATCTAACTTGATCTGATCATATATAAACTTTTTTTCCCGCATAATAATCAGATTAAATTAGATCTGCATAGATCAAGTCAGATCTATTTATATCTAATTTTTAATTTAATTTTGATCAAAGTTGATCTGGATTGGTCTAATTTGATCTGACCGGATCTAGTTTGATCAGAACAGATCTATTCATATCTACTTTTTAATTTCATTTTGATCAAACTATATCTGGGTCGAAAAATGCATCAGACATAAAAAGATTTTATTATATCTGGTCAGATATAACTATATTTGCTAACTATTAATAAATACTTATAAACTATTTTAATAAATATACTTTCCACCCAAATAAATATTTATTGAATGTTAAAAAATTTTTATTAGAATTTAATAAATTAAATAATTATTTTCGAATAAATTAATTTGTTAATAGTTAATAAGTCTTTCTATCAGCGTATATTGATAATTAATAATTCGCAAATTTGATTAAAAACTTTGTTCATTACGCATCGATCCTGGATACGATTCACATTACTTGTAGTTATTACAAACCCTACTCTTCAAGTAAGCCTCGTTGGTAAACAGGTAATGAATCAGTCTTTCAAGCATCAGGTCCCAGGTTTGGTTCCCGCGCGCACCGATTTTTTTTTTTTTTTTTTATTTATGGAAATAATTCTATATAATTATATAGGGCCATTTTTCGTATATAATTATGTATGAGTATATATAATTACATATAATCTTTTTTACCCGGGCAATTTAAAGATCTGACCAGATCTGATTATATCTGGCCAGATCTCGTCAGATAGAGACAACCTAAAGATCTGGCCAGATCTGTTTATATATGGCCAGATCTAATCCGTATTTCCCGGGAAGTGCCTTTCATGTGCTGTTGATGTTCTGACTTACTCAACTATGAGTGATTCGATGTGTATCGAAGTATTTTCGTGATGAAAATTTTACTTTGAAAAAAATTTTTACAAAACATGCATTAATTCTTTTTTATAGTTTTATTTTCAATTTTTTCCAATTCTGATGAGCAAATTTTTTTGAACAGAAATATTCTCTTCTGTGCTGTAAAACTTAATAAGTCTAATCAACTCTTAATAGCTCTTTGGGAAAGTCCCAAATTGCAGGAAAAATTTGAGTTTTGAAGAGTTTTGCGGAGTGTTGAAGATTTATTAAGTATTTTCTTTACTCAGTTAGGGATGTGAAGACTTTTGAAAAGTCTTATCCAAAGTTGTAAAGACTTTTCAAGAGTTTTTTCAGAGAATTATTTCCACCAGAGCTCTGAATACTTATTTTACTAAGAATAAGTTTTGGAAATCTTTCGACTAGCGATATGTTCAGAAAACATTATTTCGTATAGATTTATTTTTATTTTATTTATTATTTACTTTGATAGTTTATTTTTTCTATAATACAATGAATTACCTATGAAACATTAATCAAAAAATTTTTGATGCGTACATATATTAATCATCTAATCACATAAAGTATACATCTCTGGACATGGATAATATCATTATTTGAAGGCTTCTTTGGAAGTCCTTAGATTATTGTTTCAAATAATTTGCAATTTCGTTAAAATAAGTAGATTGTGTATGTTGCACTGTTAATGAGTCAGTGTATCCAGATTATGTATAAGACCATGTGGTATAATGAATAAATTCACTAGGTCATTCGGAGTAACTGGTTTTATCACTGGCATCGTCGGGACTGGTTTCTCGGTAGACTTCACTTGTGCCATTTGAATGATTTGTTTGATTTGGTGGTCTAATAACAGTTGGCAGATAACCTGTACCTGCATAAGGAGCTGCAAGGAATCGATGTCGCGTTGGAGGACTTGGACCACAATAAGCAGTTCGTGAGGTATAATTGCCAGCCGATGCAGCTGAAGCAGCAGACACTGCAGCTGCAGATGCTAAGGCACCAGCAAGAGGCGAAAACGCAGATTTTGGTTGGATACTATCTTCACAAACTAAAACTTCCATTGCTGATACTACGTCACCTAAAAAATACAGTTAAAAATAAATAGATTTTTAATATATGAATAATTTGCAGACCCAACGATTAGAATACTGTACAAAATTAGAAATTTCGTTAAGAATCATGAGTTGCACATAATAGGAAAATAAATCAATGATAAACACAATAAATGTAACATTAATATTTTGTCGATAATCGCATTGATGTTTAATCTGAAATTAGTATTTGAGTAGACGTTTCAAAGTATTTATTTTTCTAATCATATCGTATGATTCTTCTTTTCCAATTAAATTTATTAGGATAAAGTATAAAGGTAGTTTCGAACTTTATTCTATACTTTGTTTTCCGAACTTAAAAAAAATTAATAAAACAAAATACTCCGAGAATATATTTTGAGCTATTAAGATGAAATGTTTATGACATAAAAGTGTAAATACACGGCTTACTATAGTCTTAAAAGTTTTTGATAATGTACTTGCTCATACAAAGAATCGGTTGAGTTAATCAAAATAGCTTTTTTGTTTCTTAAATTTAAAGTGAAGCTTGAAGATTGTACATATTTTTACCCCCGCATACTCAGATACACCTGCACATGAATAATTATTTATATGAAAGCTTCGACATTCTTTACAATGCCAAATTTAAATAAATCTATAAATAAAAGATTGTTTTTCTTATAAAATCAGAAATAATTTTACGACACTTAATATTACCTTTGCAACGATGAAGAAGAGCTTCAACATCAGCTCGGCGTCTTCCAGGAAATACTCGAAGTAAAACATCTATTGGTGACCTTTGCTGCTGTTGTTGTTGTTGTTGTTGATGTTGTTGTTGTTGTTGTTGTTGTTGTTGTTGTTGTTGTTGTTGTTGTTGTTGTTGTTGTTGTTGTTGTTGTTGTTGTTGTTGTTGTTGTTGTTGTTGTTGTTGTTGTTGTTGTTGTTGTTGTTGCTGCTGTTGTTGTTGAACTTGTATACTGCAAGATTGTTGAACGTTCTGCATCTGCATTTGCATCTGCATTTGCATATCTCGTGGTTCAGCTAAATGATGATGATGTTGGTGCTGATAAAGTGTTGGTGAACAATAAAGTGAACTTGCAGTTGGTCCATAAAGAGATAAATAAGGTGTAAAATGGGCAGCTGCAGCCTATTGGTTTTAGTAAATTTGATTTTGTTATCATTGTTGTTGTTAATATAACTGGCGTATATACAACAGTTAATTATAACAATGTGATGAGTATTCATTGGGGTGATTAAAAAAATAAAAATCATTATTTTTTTTTTCCATACAGGCTCAAAAGTTTTATTTTGGTGTAAAAAGACACCAGTTAAAATTTGAGCTCTTAATAATAATATTATGATAGTCATCATTGCATTTTTTTAATTTCGATAAGAATAACATGGGAAAAATTATTTTTGCTTTTTCTGATTTTTACACCGCTTAAGCGACAAATCACTAATTAATCATTGTTATAGTCTTTGTAGAAAATCAAACGCTCTACAAAAAGGACTGACGATAATTTTTGATCAGTCTACACGTTTAAAAGTTATTCACGATCAAAATTCAATCTTTAAAAGATTTGATTGAATTTTGTGTATGACAATAAAACTGTTGGTTTCAGTATAAAAATAAGAGTCAAATTTTCTGTCAAACATGAATTTGATTTATGAAAGATGTTGACCAATGAATTTTTTGTTTTGTCTAATAGATATGATGCTGTTAAAGAATTTCTTTGCAGAATTCAACACAAAATAGTTTGTGACCATAAAAAAAATATTTTGATTTTATTTTGAAGACAAATCATCTCAATTTTCGTTCTTACTCGAATGCACGTTTTCAGAATTACTTTTGTGAGCTTCTGCTCAAAAATTTTAGTACCCTATCTCTAAAATGTTTGTTTTAATACAGAGATAGCAATTTTCTTCGTTCATTTTGTCAGTGGATAAACACGATTTTTTTCTAACTTTGTCGATGGAGAAATTATTTATAATAATAATAATAATAATAATAATAATAATAATAATAATAATAATAATAATAATAATAATAATAATAATAATAATAATAATAAT